CAGAGTTTAAAGACTACAGCTTTCACTTCCTGTCTTTGGTATGAGGGCTGCTTCAGACAGAAGTTGCACTATTAGTAATAGGGAATTTGGATGATATGTTGGACTGTTTTGGTTTTTTTACTTACCTGCAGTGTTGTCAGACCCTGGAACAAGTTGCCCATGGAGGCTAGGGGACTTCGCAGGTGTTCAGGACTGGACTGGAGGAGTTTCTATGTAAGCCTGTTGGAGCCTTGCTGTGAGCAGGGCCCTATGCTAGATAAACACTCATACTCAAAGGTTCTTTCCAACCTAAGTTGTTCTGTGACTTAATTATTTTAAATTTTGGTAGTCCTCAGAAACAGAGAATCCCCCCCTTTCCAGGTTTGACCAACCACAGTGGTGAAAAATTCTCATGTGTCTACTTGGTTTTTCATATCTTCCAAATCATGCCCATTATTGTTTACTTCCAAACAGTCTCTGTTTCTAATATAACCACTCTGTTGAGGACAGGAATATGATTTGTCTCTCCCTTTTTAATTCTGAGTCTTTATAGACACATTCCCATCATCTTTTCCATGTATGTCACATGCTCCAAGCCCCTTGCTATCTTAGCAGCACTTCTTTGTAGACACTAACACAAAGTGAGGAAAAATACTGAATTTCTAAGAAAAAAAAAATGCACAAAAAAAATTAATAAACTCAATTTGGAGCACTAAATGATTATGTTTGATTCTGTTGTGCTAAGTAAAACTTTCTTCCTTAGACAAAGTTTTTTTTAAAATAAAAAATTGAAGCTCATGGGCACTTTCTTTTATATGCAAACTTTGTGGTTGACTGTATGTGCAAATAAGAGATGGAAAATGAAGACTTCTGTGGTCTCAGATTAAAAAAAAAAAAAAAAAAAGAGGAGATTGGCCCCAAGGAATTTATTTCCTTTAGAATAATGTAACTAGAGAGATTATATAACTTACTCTAGATAATAAACAGTTCAAGCAGAATTGCTATATGACAAGGCAGAATAATTTGTATGTGATTCATTGTGAAAAAGAAGGGAGAGTAGAGTAGTAACTTGGTATTGTGGAAATTGTTCTCATCCAGCCCTTTGTGCTCTTCACTATATTTCTTCCTACATTTTTCTTTACTTAAGAAGAATGGTCAACTTTCTCCCTCCACTCCCCACTTTTTTTATTTGCCTACCCATACCCCTGTGCAATAATGACCAGATGGATGGTAGAGAATGAGCTCATGGCCACCCTTTCAATTGGTTTTGCCTTTTGCTTAATACCCAGTTTAATCTGCATAGTTGTTTTTTTTCAGAAACAGAAAAGAACCATTTTGGTAAGAACTGTTGCTTGCACATTCAGTTTCTAAAGGCTTTTCACTAAAAATAAGTCATCAGCTTATAGAGGAATCTTTATGGATAAATTTTTCATGTTAAGACACTGAAAGTAATGGTACAGCTAGTCCTAGAAATCATATCCAGGCACATGAAGGAGAAGAAGGTCATCAGGAGTAATCAGCATGGTTGATCACCAAGGGAGAGTTGTGCTTGACTGACCTGTAAACTTCTACAATTAAATGACTGCCCAAGTAGACTGGGCAAGAAGGGAGTAGTACAGTGTCTTCCTAGGCTTCAGTAAGGCCTTTGATGTCTCACAGCCAAGAGTCTCACAGCCCCTCAAGCTGGTGCTGTAGTGGCTGGATGGACAGACACTGAAGTGGATTGAAAACAGGCTGAATGGTTGGTCCCTGAAGGTATTGATGAACAGTGCAAAGTCTAGTTGGAGGCTGGAAAACAGTGGTGTACCCCAGGGGTCCATACTGAGTCGAGTCCTGTTTAGCATCTTCATTAATCATCTTCATGATAGCGTGTGGTATACTTTCAGTGAGTTTGTGATGACACAGAGGTGGGAGGAGTGGCTGATAGGTCATCCAGATGGGATGGTTGCCATCCAGAGGGACCTCACAGGCTGGAGATCTGGGCTGGCAGGAACTTCAGCAAGCAATGCAAAGTCCTGCAACACGTGAGGAAGAGCCCCATTCACCAGTACGTGCAGGGGGCCATGCAGATGGAAAGGAAATTGGTTGAAATGGACCTGGGAGTGTTCGTGGACACCAAGCTGAACATGAACCGGTGAGCTGGTATCTCAGCTGCACTAGAAGTATTGCCAAGCAAACAGGGTGTTCCTTCTCCTCTGCTCAGCAATGGTGAAATCTCATCTGAAGTCCTGCATTCAGTTCTAGGCTCCCTGGAGAAGACTGATAATTTACTGGAGAGAGTCCAGAAAAGGACCATAAAGATGATGGAGGGACTGGAGCATATCTCCTGTGACGAAAGGCTGAGGGAGCTGGGACTGTGTAACCTGGAGAAGGCTCAAGGGTGAATCCCATATCCATGTATATAAATACCTGAAGGGAGGGTGCAAAGATGATGGTGCAAGGCTTTTTTTCAGTAGTGCTCAGTCACAGGACTTTTCTATGATTCTGTGATATATAGTACCACTAGCTGCTTCTGGTTGAGGAGCCCAGGAGGGGTGTAAAGTTGTTGTGTATTCTACTCTGTATTTACAAAGATTTTTTGAATGAAAGCATCTTAGCACAACCTTAAAAATGTTCACCTCACCTTAAAAAGAAACAAATATTTTCTTTTTAATGTATACATGTTCATCATAACAGTGATGGAAAAGAAGGAACAGGAGAAATGAGGTGTTCTGCATAGCCTTGTAGTGGCATCTCATCTCTGATCTTTTATATAGATACATCAGTTCAGGGAGTGAGAGCATAATGTGCAAGGAATTAACATTGCTTGAATTTTGTATTGTTGGAAACAATACAAAATTTTATAGGAATTTTATAAGAAAAATTCTCATTTTATAAGAATTTTGCCAGCAGCAAATCAACAGTATTTCAATTGTAATAATCTGTCATATGTAGGAAGGGGCACATCAGTGACTTGACATACAACTTAGGAAAAGGCTGTATTTCTTACTCAGTAAAAAGCAATTCAGAGAAGGAATGTTTGCCTTGCAGCTGCTGCCTTTAATGTTCAAGTCATATATTATGACTCCTGTGATGCAGGAAACGTTCTGATCCATCTTGGGCTGAAAGATCACATGATGTGGGATCACTGTTGCTCTTGCTCTGGATTTGTGCTGTTCCTTGTGCTGTGGTTTTAGGTTTTGCTTAATTGTTTTTTGGGACAAAAATATTATATTTTTTAACCTGCCAAGCTGTTGCCCATCCTCAGTTTTCTTTGTTGGTTTGAAATGTGTCTACATATAAATAAGAAAAGGAAGGCCTTGTGTGGCATGCTGCTGTCTTGTAAAGATGCACCTTATAAGGCATGTGTGTCGAGGTCTTATCAGAATGCAGGTGTCTTGATATAAACACCACATTTCTCAAGTTTACCACTGGGAATAGTTTTCTGGGAACATCCTTCATTTTTGACGTGAGCCATTCTATTAATCCTTGTTCTACTGTTTCTTCTTGCATGTTAATATGTGTGCATTTCCATCCACTCACACAAGTTTTAATATGTATGTTACTAAATATGTTGCTGTACAAAAATTCTCATATGTTTTTATTGTAGTTTGTGTATTGAGGAAAACTTCATACATTTCATGCTGCACCTTTGAAAAAGAGGAGCAGAAGCTGTAGTCTTTCTTTTTCAAATAGTGATTAAGCTTACCATTACAAATTCTCAGAAGAGCCATCTGTCCTGAGAATGAATTAGGTAAAGGAAAGGGCAGTCAACAAAGAATTTCTGAGACTTCTCTGTGGGTGTGATGGTAGAGAGTGTATGCACATGTAGACAAAACTGATTTTCTGTAAAGTAATGTTTTTTAAATACAAAGAAAGCAAATATGATTTAAGTTTAATTAGCTCCATATTGAATATATTGCCCTTGTCTTTCATGTGGAGTTTTCCTTGTTAAAAGGTGCTACCAGGTCAATGTGAACAAGTAAACAGTATATATTAGACCAATACTTCTTCCTAAGCATTGTCTTGATACCAATTTTTTCAGTATAGGAAAATAACCACCTCTGCAAATAGTACTCTTAAGACTGCAAGACAGAAGTCCCTAAAGGTCATTTAGCAATGCTGTTTTGAGCAAAGACTGCTCCAGTGGTAATTTTCTTTCAGATAGTGACAGGTGACGCACATAAGGAAATGCCCACATTTTAGCACTCTTTGTTAAAAGACAAAAAGTCTTGCGTGTTTTTTCTTCACATGATTTTAAATAAATAAATAAAATTAAAATATAATTTAATTAATTAATATAAATAAATAAAATTGAAATATAAATTTAAGGATCAAAGAGGCTGCTCCTAGTCCAAGCACAGAGATTATCATGCTTCTGTATTGTTATGTGCAATAATTTTTTTTTTCTGTTTCTGTAGTCAAATATTCAAATATTTTTTATCCCGATGACAACAAAACTGATTTTTGAGCCTGATATGACTCAGTGGGAGAAAAGTCTTTGCTCAGTGCCATTTCATGGACTGCTAATTTTCTAATATTAGAAATTACTTTCAGTCCTTCCAGTTTGTTACTTGTCTCATGAAACCTAGAGTTTAGAATGAAATTGTCTTTTGAAGCAATGAATTCTAGTTGTATTGGAATACCTTTTCTATATTGGTGGAGCCATGCTTTTATACTTTCATGTTGACATAATGGATTTTGAACATGGTTCAAAATGTGAAATCAAGATGAAACTTTTTTGTATCCTTGGTGCTTAGAACTTGATTATTAATCAAAAGTATCTTATACTGAAAGTCTCTTCCAAAAGGTTTTGACATAATTTTTTTCTATTTCCTTTTCTGCTATATTATTATTGTCATTGTATGTAATGGCAAGAAACAAACATCTTTTGTATGTTATTGCTGGGAAGGAGTAGGTATTTGCATAGTCTTTGTCATTAGAAAGATTTAAATCTTGGTAGCATGTAAACATATCTGTATTAAGAATAGCTGATTTCTGATGTGTCTTTTTTGTTTTGTTTCTTTTTTTTCTTCCAATAGAAAACCGTTTCATCTCCAACTGTTTCACGCCTTACAGATACTTCAAAATTCACGGGTTCTCACAAAGAGAGGTTTGATGCCAGTGGGAAAGGAAAAGGCAGAGCTGGCCGAGAAGATCTGGTGGATAACTCAGGATATGTATCTGGTTATAAGCATGCAGGCACATATGATCATAAAGTACAAGGAAACAAGTAAGGCTGAGGGTTTACAACACAGAGGGGAATAGAGTATACATTTGTAAGGATGATGTTATGAATCCCACATGTTTCAGTTATTGTGAATGTTGAGACTATGTTGTCAAGAAGTTGTCTTCAGGAACTGGAACTGATTTCAACATCTGCTGAGCTACTTGCAGCACAATGCCACTTCATTACATTCCTCATTCATATATTGGCAAAAATAAATAAATATGTAGGTATAAAAAAGACATTATTTTGATGAGCTTTAGGAAAAAAACCCAAATCAACAAAAAACAAAGTCAAAGTCAGGAGCAGTTACACCACACTTTGTCAATTCAAGCAAAATAACTCAAACATTCCTTGGTGTTCAGTTGCCCTGATGATGTCAAAGAGAACCTCTTGAAAAGAGGATCTTTCGTAGCAGTCTTTCTGAAGAATATCCCATTACTTACGCAGTTTCATTTGACTATTATTTTAGGGGTTTTTTTTAAATGTCTTATGGAATCTAGCACTTCTCTTAAATAAACTATGGGGAAGTAAGTGGTAGTAATATACGAGGTTCTAGCCTGCGATTGTCATATACCACTTATTGAAAAACTGAAAAAAAAAAGCTATTTCTAGGACAATATAGGCTCTAAAGTATTTTATGTCAGCAGAAAGAGTTGGAAAATTCCAGCCCTTACTTTCCTCCTGTCTATACTTTGTGCTTTTCTTGTGTCTACTGTAGCATGGTTCTGACTGGCTGGATTTGGATGGAGCTATTGTAGTAACCTGAGAGGTGAGGAGCAAGACATTACTAAGAAAGTATAGTTAAGGATTTTCAGTCTGTTTTCAAGTTTGCACTGCCTCACATTGGAAGTGAAAAGGACATTAAGCTAATAATACTTTAAAATATTGTTTATGACTTAACACTGCCAATCAGATTACTATTAAATGAATGTTTTGCATATATGTTGGCACATAGTCCCTTTAAGCTCTAACATATGTAAGGAAAGCTTATGGCTCCTTGGAGTAAGGACATATGCAATTAATATCTATGTTATCAGGTGCAATTTTCCCTCAAAAAAACCCCAAATCATTATAACTGGGCTACATTTTATGGTTGATTTGTTTGAATCCAAGGGATTTGATTCTCTGTTCACTTTTGCTACCAGACTTGGGAGTGATAGTATTGCTGGGAATGGCTTTCCAATGTTACCAGGAGAGCCAGTCCCACAGGGTACAGGCAGCTGAGTGTGACCTAGCTGGGATCCAGAATGCCGAAAGAAATTAATTGGAATAAAAATAACTTTTTCCAATATTGGTTGACAAGGAGAGAAAAGGCCATTCTAATTTTCTGCAAGAGCTGAACAAGTACCTTGATGTATTACTCTGTTTCTCAAAAGTTATGAAAGATAGGATGTTCAGTATTCAAAACCAGCTCTTTGCAGTTCTGCCTTGCTTTGTTTCAAAAAGAGCTTGTGCCCTAATTTTCATGTTCAACTCTTAATAAAGGTTAATAGGTGTATTGCTCTCCCTCCACCCGTACCAGCATCCCACTGAGAGTACATAAACATGGGTGAGCAGTGTGTGCTGTCATGTGCCATGCAGGTGAACAGTCTGTATTTGGCCAATGTATGGAAAGAGAGCTCTGGTTTTCAGCCCTTAAACTGTTCATGTTTTATTCTGCTGACATTGTGTGGTACCCTGTCCTGTAACTTTGTCCTCAGTGATCCTTTGAGCCCATACATCAGCCTAAAACCAAAACAATAGCAAACAAAAGGCAAGGGCTTCCTTGTAGACTTGGACGTCCTTTTGTTTGTTTATAATTCATTTTGATGTTTGTTTTTAAGTGGGAGGGAAGTTTGCCAAAACACAGCACATGCTCCTGAAGTTTTAAATTGCTTTTCCCATGGATGACTTTGGTTACCTGTGAAGAGTTTAGGTGTATGTAAAGATGCTCAGGATGCAAAGTGTTCAGCTTTGTGAACCCTTTCCAAGAATTACCCAGTGTTCTGGAAGAGTGAAAGGTTATCCACTACTGTATTGCACTGGGGACCTGCCATACTCCAAAGCAGAAAATAGGATACTTGATACCAACAGTGGCTAAATTATTCTGGCATGGTAGTAAACTGTCAAAATGTAAAGAGCCTTCTTTGTCACTGGAGCCTGGGCACCCGAAGATGGCTCCAGGGTAGTCCTAGTTTTTCCTAATGAATAAAATGGCTGAGCCTACAACCCTTGATGAATCCTTCAGCTGAGTTACATGCAAAATCAGTGTCCCTGTTTTTCCTTTTGATTTTAAGACTTGACTAATAACTCACTGGTAACTGAAAAGTTCTGGACCCAGCCTCACTAAAGGGTGACATCCAGCCTACTGCAGAGTCCAAGAGCACACTGTTGACCTGGGTCTTTGTTGCTAGCTATTGTCTGGCACACTGGGTGACACTTTGCCCAAATACAGAGTCTGTAATGCCAGAATGTTTCCATACAGGAGGAGTGACTGGTTAGGAAGATTTTAAGATATAATTAGGTTTTAAGCTGTTTGTTCAAAGTGAGAGAGAGATCAGCACACGAAGGCATGCAAGGGAATTGAGAGTGCGAACAGATCCAAGCTGACACTGTCTAGAAATTGAGCTGTAAGAGGCTGATGGAACAAGCAGAGGTTCTGCCAGAGTTTACTTTGCATTGCTTGTGCAGTATAAAATCCCTGCCATGAACCAAAAGCACTTTATTTATACCTGATGCAAAATTTGAAATTCTTTCAATGCCATAGTAAGCTTGGGATCAGAACCTGAGAAGATGGTTCAGATAGCAGTATTTTATTTTGAGGAACACACTTCTTTTTTCTACTTTGTTTCTACAGTATGATAGTTTTAAACCTCAAAGTGTTACATGAAAAGAAGTCATTCTGATGTAACAGTTACAAAGGAAAGTTGTTACTGGGAAGATAGTAAAGGTTTTTTTCTTTTACTATGCTTGGTGTGAAAGATAATAGCTATGAATAAAAGCATCTTATGCAGCTGTATATTAGGGGTTCACTACCTACTTAAGCTCTTACTATTCCACTAATATTGATAGGAAATTAAAAGCCTAAATACTTGCTTGATTATTAGCTTTTAAGTTCCAGGCCTGCTTGGGGATGAGGCAAAGTACATTTTCTTACTCATCTGCTATTCCCTCAACTCTCAGGGCAGTAAGTACGGCTTATACCTCAAAGATGACAGGAAAGGATAGCTGAGGAGGTGCCCCATTTTCAGCCCTTAGTGTGTTTTTGAGCATATTCTCTTCTGATGCCCCATGCTGCAGACTGTAACTGAACATCATGTCTGAAATAAGGACATGGGAACCTAATAAGATTTACTGTCCTCTCTCTCTTGGAGGCATCTCAATTGATTCCATCTAAATTTCCAGCTTGATTTTCAGCATCTTCCACTATGTAGCACTGTCTTATGTGACATCTTCTATAAAACCCTGTTGTTCCTAGTTATCTTTGCTTTCATTACTACAGTAGATGCTACCAAAAAAAATGTGAGCAGAAAGTCAGATGGCTTTTAGAAATAACTGCCTTAAAGAATAGACTCAAATTTCATTTAAATACTGTGGCAGTACACAGTCCTTACCTGTGTGTCTACTGAAGCTTAACCTGACCATCAAAACCTGAGAAGACTGAGAGCAAGAAACTAAAATCCTTACTGAGGCAAATGAATAGTCATTACAAATAAGTTTCTAAAAATAATGTTGTTTTTTAAGTAAAATATGCAGCAGTCAAAAGGGATTTTCTTATTAGGGCTTGCTTACTAATTCTGTTTAGTCACTCCATGAGCTTTAGTTCAGAGTTTCGCTGGGAGTTTTGCAACCATTAGTATGGAAGTATCAAAACTAAAAATGATTGTCCTGTTTTTTGTGGTTGTCAAAGCTATCACAATAGCATTACTGAGAAGCAGACATTAAAAAACACACATAATTTCATGGGTCTTATATGAACAGTTGTAATTAATTGTAGTCAAATATTTGGAATCCCAAGGGACATGTTGAATATTAGACTATAGACAAAATTTAATCCCTATTTTTTAAAACTATAATACTTCTTACCTCCTTTTTATTTAGGGAAGAGAAAGGGAGATTTGAAAACTACATACGTGTCACAGCTTATGTTTTTCATCAGCATAGAGATCGTCTTTCAAAGATATTTTTAATTATTTTTGATATTTTGAATTATTTTGATATTTTGAAGTATGTATTTTACTGACCTTTCCTAAACTAAAAATTCTGTCAATTGAATTTAAAAGTCTGACAATTTTTTAGAATTTTACAAAGCTTTGTTCACAAAGTACCATTTCCTTTATCCTTAAGGTTATCCTTAAGGATTTCCCTAAAGTTATCCTTTTTTTCCCCTCTATTAGCTCAATTAATATTTTATAGTAGCTGGAATTAGGCAGAACAAAAAGGCAAATGACTACTATGGGTTTGACTTGCAAGTGATAGATATCCCAGCCATCTGTAACCATCTGTTGAGAAAATCCTCATGTATATTCCTCCAAAACCAAAACTTTAAAGTTGTAATGGATAGGTTTTTTCCTTAAGACTTTTCATAGTTATGAAATAAATTTTAATTCTTTGTGCCTGCATGTATGATGGTCAAAACATAACCCTGCCTTCAGGGATGCATGTATTCTGAGGGCATGTGCCTGTCATCTGTGACTGAGAATTCTCTGTTTGCACTGGCCAAGAGCAAACCTTTTACCTTCATGATAGAGCAAATGTAGTGTTGCACTGGTACGTGTCCTTTTAACTGACTGTCAGCCTTGCGTGTGTGCCAAAATAACTACACTTTTGTGTATGTTGTTTGTAGTGTGAATATTATGTTCTTGGTTTGTCACTTAGTTGGTATTAAGTAATGTAATGCACAAGACTTGTGTAGGTTTGTGTGTGTACACATGCTCTTTAGATCCAGCTTAAGTAATTAAACTGTGTAAATGTTGATGAAAAACTAAAATCTTATTAGGGCCAAGCTCTAGTCCTGCAGTCAATGCTGTTCAGCATGACTGGCTGGGGGTGTTGTCATTCTCCCTTCATACCATAAAGGTGAAGATCTAAGGAGGCTTTTACGGTTTTACCTGTCCACCCTGTTCTGAGAGAAATCACTCTTCAGCAATTCTAACATAGATTTAGTGTGACAAGAGGAGTTTCTCCATGGTGAGGAAGTAGGAGAGAGAGAAAGAGTGAAAGCAAGCTTTCCTCTGAGTGCTCTTAAGAAACCATTTAAAACTATGCTCTGCATTTGCCCCAGCTTTGTGAAGCAAGGTGACACTCACTGTGTAAACACAGAGGTGTTCATCATCTGTCAGTAAGCATAAAGCTGTGGTACAGTGAGATGGGAACAGGAAACAGGAGTGTCATACATTGCCTATGGACTCAAGTCTTGCTTAAACCTTTGTACAACTAAATACCAGAAGCATAATGACAGCTCTTAAACTTGCGTGGAATTCCTAAAGTCTGGAGTACCTCCAATTAATACATGTGTACCTCCTGTATCTGAAGTGTTTGCCCATAAAATATAATTTAACAATCAGTTACTCATTTTGTGCAACCCCAAAGTGCCCATTTGGCTTACTTAATATTACAGTCAGGGTTGTTCTTTTAAATTCTTCAGAATCCTAGAACTACCAAGAAACCTGTAGTTGCTTTCATGCTGGTGCATTAAACTCAAAACCAATGCTTTGAATGATGTCCTAGCTAAGAATAATAAGAAGTAAAAGAATATTGCAGATAGAACCTCCATGTCTTAATTGTCCAAGTAATTTATTCTTGCAGGGAAAAATATCTGTTAATGTATTTGGTATTTTTTTCATGTTTTTCAGTATATTAAATTTGGTATATTGCTTTAAAAACCCTATGGAGAAGGTGGATTTCAGAACAAGTTTAAGATACAACTCTTGACTTTGTTGTCAGAAAACACTTGAATTGGCTTATTTCATTCAAACTACTTGATCATCCACTCAAGGTAGACTTTGGCAAGACTAAGCCTGACCATAAACAAAAGGGGGGAAAATCCAGCCTCTTGGCTGAGCATTCTTGGCACACATTTGCAGTTCTGGTAGTCTGAA